TTCAACTGGTTTCTGATTCTGAAGGTCATGTGTATTTATTTCTTTAATCCACTAGAGGTCAGTATTGGGTTGATCAAGACAGGAGCCTTTGCCGTCTGATTCACAGAATTTTAACTGAGTCTTACTGTTAGGTAAGTTGGAAGTTGTATTTTCACAATAAAACTTTATTTATTAGCATATGTAGACATATTAGGTTAATAGTTCAGAGTAGATCATTCTTATGGGTATACCCCCTCTCCTTTTTTTCCCCTCCTGTTTTGTTCCCCATCTTTTAGTAGGTAGAACATCCCAATCATCTCTTTTATTACGCCAGACCTCATTCTTACATACATTCCTTTTGTTGTCCACTGCCTTTATATAGTAAACATTTGTCTAAACTTACTATGTATGTGTCACTGGATCTGTGTTTGGGGGATTCTAAGACTGGTAAAACGTGTTTCCTATCCTCAGAGAAGAGTTACATACTGAAGTACTGTACTGTGATTTTTTTACCTGGCTACCTGACAGGTTTACTGAACTCCTTTTCTCTCTTCCTTCAACTTATTATTTCCGTGGTTCTTCTCTTCGGAATGACCCCACCATCTAGTCATCAGGACCAGAACACTTGGGGTTCTTCTTAGTCCCTTCCTCTCTTCTAGGTACTACACTGCAATCAATAAATTCTGTTTCTTCTGCCAGTTACTTATCTGCTGCTACCTTAATTCAAGTCCTCCTTATTGTTGTTTGGACTGTTACCGTATTGTAACCAATACCGATCTGTATTGGTTTTTCTTTTTCTCGTCTTTACCTTCTCCTGGTTGACCCCGCTCCTCTGCTCCTGAAGAACTTGCCTGAATTGTAAAGCCGATGCTGTTCTCTCCCTGCTTACGTTCTTTCACTGTTTCTCCCTTGCTGGCTAGCGAGCTTGAGGCTGCTTTGTATGGCTTCTTTATCTCTAGGTAGTTCTTTATCACCTGTGCTTTTATACAAGATTACTTATTCCTTGGGTGGGCAATGTTATTTCACACATGGCGATCTTTTTTCAAGCTGTTTCCTTCTTTTACCTCTCTCCCTTTGGAAAAATCATATTTATCTTTTACAAGCACAGTTTGCTGCTTCTTCCTCTGTGATAGCTGTTTGGGGTCCCCTCCAAGCAGATACAGTACTTTCTCCTATGTCCAATTGTTACACCTGTATTTTTGTTATTATGCTAATTGCACTGAATTTGAGCCACTTATTTGCCTACCTATGCTTCCTGTAACAGTATGACCTGAGGTTCATGGGTCATGAACTCCATCTTATTCTCTGTAGGCCGGGGATGCAGCACAATGCCTGGTGCTCGCAGACATTCAGTACACATTTGACTGAAAGCAGGGCTGCGGAGAGGGTGCACCATGAGTTAGCATAGCGAGAGGAGGCTTCCTAAAGGAAGAAGAGTTCTAGTTGGGATTCAGAGGGTAGGCTGGATGCAGGCAGGGAGGGGTCATCCAGTACAGAAATGGCATGCTATTTCTAGTATAGTATGTGGTAGAACTTGATCCAAGTGGAAGATTCATGTTGGAGAGTACCGAATAAGTATACTGGAAAATTAGGCTCAGCTTCCATTATGGTGGAGTCCAAGGGAAGTTGGGATGGAGTTGGGGTGTGGACTTGTGTACATTTTTTTTTCTCCCAGTTTCCCTCATGTTCAATCTGTGTGATGAATAATGTGGTTTAAGAAGAGCCTGGCTGGGGGCGCCTGGGTTGCTCAGTGGGTTAAGCCTCTGCCTTCGGCTCAGGTCATGATCTCAGGGTCCTGGGATCGAGTCCCGCATTGGGTTCTCTGCTCGGCAGGGAGCCTGCTTCCTCCTCTCTCTCTCTCTGCTTGCCTCTCTGCCTACTTGTGATTTCTCTCTGTCAAAAAAAATAAAATAAATAAAATCTTTAAAAAAAAAGAAGAGTCTGGCTGTAATATGCAGGGGAATTCTAGTGAGAAGGTGATGAGTTCCATTTTAGGTTTATTGGAAGTGAAGCGGTGGTAGAGGTCACAACTAGAGGCAATGGGGTACTAGGTTTTGGGAGAGTGGACAGAGTGGGAAGAGAAGGGAGCTTGAGGAAGAGATCTGGCTTCACTTCTTTATATTAGGAAATCAGAGAAGAATATGTATGAGGGGATCTTGAGGAAGAGGTCATTAAATGTGTAAAAATTAATCACAAAGAGAACAAGAAAAAGAAAACACTGGGGTCCCTGGGTGGCTCAGTGGGTTAAGCCTCTGCCTTTGTCTCAGGTCATGATCTCAGGGTCCTGGGATCAAGCCCTGCATCAGGCTCTCTGCTCAGCAGGGAGCCTGCTCCCCCGCTCCCCCGCCCCCCCCCGCCGCCTGCCTCTCTGCCTACTTATGATTTCTCTCTGTCAAATAAATAAATGAAATCTTAAAGAAAAAAAAAGAAAGAAAAAGAAAACACCTAAATGTTTTCTAAGGTCTGTCTGTTTGGTAGCCTCCTGCCCCATCTCCAACACAGGTTGGAGGAATCAGTCCGCTGATCTCCGCTTTAGTTCAAGGCTATAAAGGTGGTCTCTGGAGGGACAGAAGAGATGGTCTTGTTGAGATAGTTTAGCATGTTAGAACAGAGCTCTGAAGGGCTTTTACTGTTGTTATTTTTCATGGACTTTAGTGTGACATTTTAATTTTAGCATCTATTACCTGCATGTATATATTTGCGTTTATTCTCTCCCACTTCCTGCCAATGCCATAACATACAGTTTGGATAGATGGTAATTTTCATTTGCATCCATAATGGGTAATATCTTAGTATTTCCTTGTTCTACCTGAGATTCAGTGTTTCCACCTTGGCCGCTTCTGTTTAAGCAGATCTGCCCTCACTGCAGACTTCTACAGACTGAAGCCTTGATCATCTTGAGAGACCCCCAAGTACTGATAGAGCCTTGGAATACAGCATTCAGTGTTTTGATTTCTAGCTATAGGGTTTGCGATCTTTATTTGCCTGTTTGGCCCAAACTGCGTTCCCCTACATGGATGGGAAAACCAGATGCCACCTAAAAAGAACAAATCACAGAAGATCTAAAATTACTTCCATAGGATACTTTCAGATTTGTATCATTTCAAGTTTAAATGACAATACTTAAATGTGTCTCCTCTTGTTTGCTTTTGATATACTGGTAGTATTTTACCAATTGTGAAGAAAAATAAATGACTTGGGATTGAATAGAATACGACCACCTTATGAAAAGCTTTTGGTTTTGTTGTACTGAAGAATGGGCTTAAGAGACAAGTGATCACTCCAGTCCAGGGCCTGCTTTTTTTAAATATGAAAGCTCTAGGAAGTTCTCCCTTCCTTTGTGCCTCCCCAGAGTCCTCAATCGCTTTTTGTGTAGTTTACTTGGAAGTGGAAAAGAACTTACTACTTTTGAGAGGAAGAGAAAGACTGTTCTATCTAATTTAGGTTCTCAAATGCTTGGAGGATAAGTATGTTTTATGTACAAACATAAATGTTCTTAGGTACCTTCTCTTTCTCAGTTTCTTACTGAAGTCAGGTACATTTTATGTAAGTCAAACCAAAGTATCAGTGAGTATTATGCATGGAAACAAGCTTGTCCATTGATTCAGATCTCTGGAATGTAGATTCTTTTCATTTTCTTGGCAGAAACTAGCTCCCATAGTTCAAGTTTTTCTCTGTCCTATTATAATTGTCTCATTTAACCAGTGCCTGGACTAACATACTTAATATTTATCTTGAATTTCTTAATCTCATTCAGAATATTTGGAGACTCTGATTTTCTCCAGAACTAATTTCTGCCTGTCACCAAGGAGAAATGTCATATATTGATTAAGAAATATGTATTTTGAGAGGCCATCCTTTTTAAACTTTGTGTCTTAGGATGACACTGAGTATTATTTAAAAAAAACAACAACAACTGGAAGTTCCATTGTGAAATATTTTGGAACATGCTGGATTAAACCAAATTAAGGAAGTTTCCTTAGGCAGGATTTCTCTCAGTTTTTATTCTGTTAATGTGCATTGTGTACCTACAAGAGGGCTCCATGACAACAGTGCTTCCCATGTATTTGACAACAGAACCTTTTGTGGGGGAAATATTTTGTCATGCTTTGAGGAATTGTTGGTGTAGTGGGAAGATCTCTCCTCTGGAACTGAGGAGATCACACGTTGAGCTTCTGATTTACCACTAACTAGCCTTCTGACCTCAAACAAATGCCTTGTCTTCTAGCCTCAGTTTCCTGAGTCTTGACTAAAGTCACTTCCAGCTCTAAAACCATGTGGTTTAATACTTACGTTGTTGACTCCACATAGTCACACTTTCCACTCTTTGTATGGATCGAAACCACGTTATCTGAATCTGTTTTGTAAAGCTGAGGGGATTACATTTCCTTTTTTAAGGTTCAGAAGAAGAAACCCTTTAAAACTCTGTTTTCCACAGATTAAGGTCATGCAATCCTCAAGGATTAGTTAGTTCAAATTACTCTATTAAGATGTTTCATTCCCCTGGTGACATTCTATTGGTCTCTTGTAACCACAGAACTGTTCTTGGAGTCCGCTAAGCTGAAAAGGTCTTGTCCCTCTTCCCCCCAGCCACAATGATCCCAGCATGGCCTATGTCTTGTAGGAGATGCGTATTTAGTCGTTAGGTGCTAATCTCTTGGCTACTTAGATGAAGGGGGGCAGGCTTCATTTCTGTGGTGATGTAGTGGGTATATTTGGAAAGTCTTCTAATAATATTGGCTGATTATCTTTTTTTTTTTTTCTGGGAAAATGAATCAAGATGGATAACTTCAGGGTTAAAAATGTATGTATTAATGTGTTTGGTTTTATTTCTGGGGGCTATAACTATATCCTAAGGCATTTTATTGTATTTTCTTTAAGGTACCAACTTGTTCAAAATGAGAAGTTCTTTGAATGCTGAATTAAGTTGTTTCTTCTTTCTTTCTTTCTTTCTTTCTTTCTTTCTTTCTTTCTTTCTTTCTTCTTCTTTTTCAATGTGTGTGTATGTGTTTCTATCCTAGGCTCAACAACAAAGAAACCTGGATAACATCGTCTTGCAACAACCCAGAATAGGTAGCAGGAGAAAATCTAAAAAAGATGTATACACAATTTTTGATACAGAGATAGAAAGCACTAGCCCCAAGTCTGAACAGGATTCAGGAATTCTGGATGTTGAAGATGAGGAAGATGATGAAGAGGTAACCAACATTTCAACTGGGGAAATAAGACTAATGTTAGGGTTAATTTTTGAGATGTGAAGAAGAGTTTATCCATGTAACATAGCTTGTGTGATCTTCTGGGTATTAGATATCATTTTAAATACAAATGGGCCTCAATATAGGGAAACTGAAGATACACCATGATATCTTAGATTCTAATTACTTAGATTTTGAATATGCTCATCCATTTTTTTTTTAAGTTTCAAGGTTTTTGATTATATACCACACAGATACTACATTAAGGAAAGAGTAGACTGTATCTGACCTAGAGAAAGATCTAGGTAAACTCCTCTGAACATCATTACTTGAGACAGAAGATGTTATTTAAACAGTGAGGTGCAAATAAAGGGGTCGTAGACTGAAAATACAGAAAGGCTCCAGAAAGTTGAGAATACATTTCTGGAGGGAATAAATATATGAGTGATTATAGAGAATCTGGGAATCTGGGGATATCCATAATCTCTTACATTAGTTCTGTCACTTTCAGGTAAAGAATAAGATTAAGTTGCTTAAGTAGGGCATATATTTTTATCCTGGTTTGTTGTTGAAAGTATATTTAATGTGTTTTTAAAAACAAAACTGTGATGACACTTGAGATCGCTTGTTAAATTGTTTTTTCTAAATACTTATCTTTTGGATAACCTGGATCAGTTTCTTTGGGAATGTAGTGATTAGAAGCATGAACTTGGGAGGCATACAGATTTGCATTCAGATCCTGGCTTTGCCATTTTGTTTCTGTTTTCTTTTTTAAAAATTATCATTCATGCTCATATCATTTACTCTTTAAATGTCCAGTGACCTGTGTGAGGAACCATTTATGCCTGTGCTCTGTCACCTGTTTGCCTTTAAATGTTTGGCTCTTTTTCATTGTTTTGTTTCTCCAGATAAAATTGGGTTCACTGTCTTCCCCATCCTTGTTCTGTCCTATTTCCCTCCCACCCAAGAACTATACCCTCACACTTGTCACCGTCTAACTCAGGAATCTTAAGTGACGATTTAATCTGTTGGGACCTTAGTCTTCATCTGTCAAGTAAAGACAGTAGTCTCTACCCCACAGGACTGCACAAGTGCCTAAGCCATAGAAGGTGGTCAGCAAATGTTAGTGTCTGTTCTCTTGTTACTCTTTTTTGCCCACTTCTGTTAGGTATCACCACCATCATATTCTTTATCAGGATGTGTTTATTACATAAATGAAGTACATTAATATTTAAAAGTGTATGGAAAGTTTCATCAAAATCCCTATTGTACCTGGATAAGAAATGGAGCTAAGACAAGAGCCAGGCATTTGCCTGATATCTATAGAAATAGAAAGGGGCAGAGAAGACTTCATCCTCCTGAATATTTTCTAGCATTCTCTCTTCTTGCCTGGGATGACTGGTGTGGTAGGTAGGGATCCACCTTGGAGACCAGACTGTCGAGTATTGGGCCCATCACTGATGACAACAGTCAAGTATCAGAATCAGCAAAGTCCAGTTAATGCCTTTTATTTACATTTTGGGTGTCTGTTAAGAAAATTAAATTCTATTCACCACTATGACCTGAGGAAATAGAAGTTAGACATAGTCTATGCCCTGGGTAATATATATCCCAAAGAGATGGCTAGATGATAAGATGAAAGAAAGAAGCACATCCATTGTTATCATATATAGTGGAACCGTATGGATACACGCCCTTCTTTATCATAAGCTCACCGAAGATCCTGGGCAAATCCATTTTAATTTTTGTGCTATATTTCTTCTTTGTTTTGTCTTCTGAGGCCTAGAGAAGATAAAGAAAATGGGACTAGTACAATGTGTTGAGGCCTCCTCATAAACGAAGTATTGTAAGAATGTACTTGGATGTGAGCATTTTAAAATGGTCATATATCCCAAATCAAACAGAATCCTGTTTGAGATTTGCTGATTGAGCTCTTACAACAAGAATTCAGCACTTCACTGTCATCTAATGGCATCCTATCTTAAAAAAAAATCCTACCTTCTATTTATTTACTTCTCAGTTTGAATCTTCTTCAAGTGCACATTCTTAATCTCAAACCTCATGTAGAGAATTATTTATTTAGATGTCTCCAAACTGGTTTCTTGGCATAGTTCTTGCATGGTGTGAATAAATTCTTCAGATAAGGTCTTTCGTGACCCACTGTGACGTTCTGACCTTCATTCTTGTCATTCTTCAACAGACCTCATTGAGAGCAGCGTAAATAGTTTCTAAAATATTTTGACTTCTAAACTGTGGCACAGAATCCTGTAGGGCAGTGATTCTTAATCTAGTTCGGGTCATATGTTCCTTTGAGAGTTTGAAAAAAAAAAATGGAATCTTTTCCCAGTGAAATATGCATATATTCACTCACAAAAAGTTCTGCATGAAATTTCAGGGGATTCCTGAAACTCACGTTGCTCTTAGGAGCCATGTTAAGAGCCTAAGTTGTAGGTTAAGTGCTGAAATTTTAATGTGCATAAGAATCACCTTCATACTCATAATAAAAGGCAGATTTGGAAATTCTGCCAGTTGGACATGAAATCTGAGAATTTGCATTTTTAACAGGCTTCCAGGTGGGAATGGTGCTTCTGTTTGCAGAGCACACTTGGAGTCACAAGGCTATAGAGGACCACAAGGAAGCATTTTTAGTAGATAAAGAAGACAAAACCTTGAATGTTTGGGACTCTTACTGATTTTTCATTACTATGTCTTAAAATTTTTCCAGCAATGAATGCAGTACTTGGAAGATAAAGTTACATTTTTGTTTTCTAAAATCTGTTGCTTATAATAGATTTTTTAAATACTTTAATGAAATTTTATATTTTTTATGAAATTTAATGATTCTGATTTAATATACTTAAGTTAGATATTTTCTTATTCACTGAAGGGAGGACTTTTTCTTTTTCCTGTGCTTTTAATGAAAGGGATATTTAGTACATTCTGAGTCAAGTGACATTTGTAGGCTATTAACTATGTCTTCAGTGTGATGGTACTTAATGGGAGAGCACAGAATGAGGAGGGTACGAAAACACAAACACCTAGAAAATGGCTTAGAACATAATAAGCAGGTATTTCATATATTGTTGAACTGAAATAAAGTTTGTGTCAGACACAGCTAAACTAAATAGGCTGGGAACTGAAGATGAAGTCATCTTGGATGAAAAGACCAGCTCACATGGAGAGCCAACTGACAGAGTCAGTCTCTTGATCACTGAGAAGTGTCGTAGGAAAAGTAGTCCTCTGTACAATTCTCTATTTGTACTTTATTTTTGTCTAAGTTAATGGAAGAGCCACCTCAATTAAAGTAAGTTGTTTTGTTTTTACTGGTCATATATTAAAGTTGAACTATATAAATGGCTGACATTTGATGATTTTTGACTGACAACTTAATTCAGTTGGTTTTCAGTGGAAATATATATGATTTGGGGAATTTATTCTTTTTTTTTTATTATTCACTTCCTGGTTAGAGGTCTTTTGTAATGTTAATTCAGCAAGATTTCAGGAAGACATGGACCAATGTCTGCTGTTATCTCTAATCTTCTTTTTTAAAAAAAATTTTTTATTAACATATAATGGGGAATTTATTCTTAATCTCTATATTATCCTGAGGAGTATGCAGATGTTATTGGTCTTCCCTAAATATCTAGATAGGACTTCACAATTTTGTTTTAGAAGTGGTGAACATTTTCGATTGAGAATGTACTTGTGATGTTAGCTTCATCAGGAATTTCTTCTTATCTTAAAGATTTATTTATTTAGAGAGAGTGCATGCATGTGTGAGCGTTTGAGCAAGGAAGGGGCAGAGGGAGAGAGAGAGGATCTCAAGCTGATTCCCCACTGAGAGTGGAGCCCAACATGGGCTTGGGACTTGATCTTACCACCCTGAGATCAGGACCTGAACCGAAATCATGAGTTGGTCACTTAACCATCTGAGCCACCTGGCCGCCCCAGGTGTATCATTTTTGAGATATTTGACGATAAAATACAAAAGACGCTCTAGGTGTTATATTATTTGTGAGAAGGGGGACAATAATGCCTTGTGAGGGCAGAGTTGTAAGGATTGACTGAAGTAACGTGTATAGTATTCGCATCACAGTGCTTGGCATGCACAGTACTATCAGTAGGTACTATTAAGGTATTATGACTGTGTCCTTCTTTGGGGAATCGAAGTGAAATACAAGTTGATACAGTTTTTGCTAACATATTTGCATGGACTCATGGAACATTGTCTACTGTAAGTAAACAGTCTGCTTTAAAAAAAAAGCAGTATTGGGTTAAGAAATAGTTTGAAGATGCAGGGCCTATGATTTCTTTTTTGTGTTTCTAGATTACTTCAGAGCTTCTGCATTCTTAGAACACTTCCTTGGTACCATACTTCTGGCACATCTCTTATTCTAGTTTGTATCTTTTTAAATTGTTTATACTGTGAAAGAGCAGTTGTCACTGTTTTCTCCCTCAACTCTTTATACAGTGTGAGGTAAATAAATGTTTGTGGACCAAATGATCCATGTCAGGTGTAGCTCTCAAGATTTTGGTGTCCTTTTTCAAATACAGAGTTAAGAGGATGGAATTGCTGAATTAAATACAAATATCATACAATATATAATGCCTTCTGAACTGTCTTTATGATCGTGGTATGGTACTAATTTTGAGATAATAAGATTATTTGTTTGCCAGACACTATAACAAAATACCATAGGTTGCCCAGCTTAAGCAACAGAAATTTATTTTCTCACAGTTGTGGAGGGTAGAAGTCCCAAGATCAAGGTGCCATCAGGATTGATTTCCTCCTTAGGCCTTTTTTCTTGGCTTATAGGTGACTGCCTTCTTGCTGTGTCCCCACACAGCTTTTTCTCTGTGATCATATGCCCTGGTATGTCTTCCTTTTTTTTTTTTTTTTTTTTTTAAATAAGGACACCAATCCTGTTTTAGCAGGATTGATCTCAGGGTGGTGAGTTCAAGCCCTGCACTGGGCTCCACATACATACATACATACGTACATA